CATGTTGTTGGCTTGCCTGCAGTGCCCAGCTTGCGGTCAGAATCCTCGTCGGCTTCTTGTTATCATCCTTATCCTCCCTCCTCCCTGGTCGTCTTTGTCAACCACGCTGCCCACTCGGTGTTCTGCCAGTCTCACGCGCTGATGTTTATTTTCCGCATGTTCTGGCGTGGAAGATCCTTTATTAGTTGGGAAGCTGGCAGTTTCTATCATCGGGGCGTGGCCATGGTGGACAGAAAAGTTACCCTTTCAGCAGAAGACCCTAAACAACTCTGAACATGGACCAGAGCGAGAGGCATAGACGGAAACACTCAGATCGACCACAGTATGGAGCACACTAGTGTATCATACTAGCGTAGTGTGTGTCATTGTGTGGTTTTGCAGGGTAAAGTATGGTGGTGCCTCTATCGTGTCGTACAGGGACTGATTCAGTCGAGTACGACACAGTATAATATAGTATAGCATTAGTACAGTCCACTATAGTATGTTGTTCGACAAGATGTGAAGGAGGAAGAGAAAGAGGACGAGGATGATGAGAAGGAACTTTATATTTTTATGAGATCAGTGATGGCATGTTGACGAGGAGGATGCGGAGGAGGAGGCTCAAGTACGGGAGGAGGAACGACGAGGAGGAGGACGATCCCCGCACTCGGTTCTTCTAAGAAGTATAAAAAACCTTCACAGACAAGTTGATACGAATACGAATGCGACCACTAGGAATACGAACGCGAATGTGAAAACGAATACGAATACGAATGCGAATGGACAAGGGTAACAAGATCCGTACCTCACGGGAGGCCACGGACGGGCACGGGAGACCAGGGCGTCCGACCGCTTCCGGGCCTGGTGTTGCCCGCACCCGGCTTCTGTGGAGGAATGGCACAGCCTCCGAGGAGCAGGAGGAGGAGGAGGAGGAGGAGGAGGTGGAGGAGGAGGGAGAGGAGGAGGAGGAGGAGGAGGAGGAGGAGGAGGAGGAGGAGGAGGAGGAGGAGGAGCAGGAGCAGGAGCAGGAGCAGGAGCAGCAGAGCAGGAGCAGGAGGAGCAGGAGCAGGAGCAGGAGCAGGAGCAGGAGCAGCAGGAGCAGGAGCAGCAGAGCAGGAGCAGGAGCAGGAGCAGGAGCAGGAGCAGGAGCAGGAGCAGGAGCAGGAGCAGGAGGAGGAGGAGGAGGAGGAGGAGGAGGAGCAGGAGCAGGAGGAGGAGCGGCATCGGCGCGGCCCCGTGGGCTTTGGCACGGCGCTGGGCGTGGGCACGCGCAGAACCCGTCTTCGACGCTTCCACGGAAGCCGGGAACCTGCACCTGCAGCCCAAGAAGAGCCACCTATAGTCCCGTTTTGGGCCGAGCTCATCGACGAGTTGATCCTCAATATCGACGTCCTTGTCGAGCAGTTTGCCCCGCAGCTGAACGGCATTTGCATGCCTTCCCCAGGTAAATACCTCTGCGTGATGGTTGGCTGGAGCATTGTTTGATGACCAGCGGGGACACGGCCGCGGCCAGAAATCGGCATGGCGTTATCCTCACTGCACCCTCACTGGCCCAGCCGATGCGTGCGCCAGGCTGTACCCCACATCCTGCCTCTCCGTCCTCTCCTACCTGGCCTAGTTTTGCCCGATCCCGGAGCGTTGTTGGGCGGAGAAAATATTTTCACGCGTTTCATGAAGCTTTACGCCTCCCTCCCAGCAGCTTCAAGCTGAATGGTATTCTCTCGTTCGCCAACTGGTTCCCCACGGCTTTGGCTCGCCCGGTGAGAGCGACGGATACCAGAACGATGTGGCGAACAGCGACCTACAGGCGGGGGGGGGTCCAGACCCCTGAGGTTTTTCCCGGAGGTAAAGTGGGGGAGGGTATGGCGGGGGAGGGCCCCCCTGGTTTTTGACCCCGCCCTTAGGAATGTTTTGTTCAGGGGGGGGGGGGGGGCACCCTGCTTTTTGCCCCCCCCCCCCCCCCCCCCCTTCCAAGGATGTTGTGCTTCTCTTATCAGGGACGACGTGAGTTGGAGAATCGCGTGACGTGACTATTTTTTTGTCGGGCCTGTCCCCCTACAGGAGGGATATCCAAAACTAGTCCAAGTAGTCTGGGCACGATTTCTCTATATATCGTTTGTTGGACTCTTGGGGTGCATTTCGGGGGTATTTTTTCATGGTTCGTCCAAGACCCGCCTGTAGGAGGACCGCTTCGTTTGCTTCACCACGGAATCGTCCAATTCACGCTGTGCTCGCCGGCTCAGCAAAGCAGCGCGCGAGCCCGCACGAGGGGGGGGTCACGGCGGGCCCAGCGGGCGCGCGGTAGCTGACGAGGGAGTGCGGCTTCGGGGGCGCGAACGCTACGAGGGATTGTGGCCTCGGTCGCGCGATTTGTATGTAATACATATATACGTACACATTTTGGGGTATATCTATATGTATACAAAAATACATATTTATTCCCCAATCAGAGCTTGCCTCTGTAGGGGTTCTAGCGGATTAAAGGGTTAGGTGAGGTTTGTCGCCGATTTCGGTGGCCGGGCCCGGGTGCCCGGGTGCCCGGGTGCCCGGCGGTCAACGCGGGTGCCCGGGTGGCCGGTGAGGTGCGTGGCCGATTTCGGTGGCCGGGCCCGGGTACTTGGGGGTGCCCAGGGGTGCCCAATAGCCAAGTAGCCCTATAGCCGTATAGCCCTATAGCCCTATAGCCGTATAGCCCTATAGCCTTATAGCCTTACATCCCTATAGCCCTAATAGCCGTATATCCCTATAGCCCTACAGCCCCATAGCCCATATAGCTCTATAGCCCCGTAGCCCTATAGTCCTACAGGCCGCAGTCCTATAGCCCTATAGCCCTACAGCCCGATAGCCCTAATAGCCCTACAGCCCGATAGCCCTATAGCCCTATAGCCCGATAGCCCTATAGCCTATAGCCCGGCCGATTACAGATGGAGCAATTGGAAGATTAAAAAAATCTGATTGGGGCTTCTCTCCAGCATCATATATATATATATATATATGTACAACAAAAAATGTAACGAGACAAACGTGGCCTCGGGAGCGCGGGCGCGTTGCAAATTAGCAGGGGTCGTTGCCTCGGGGGCATGACTCTGGTGCGATCGACAAGGGGTCGTAGCTTCGATGGCGCGGATTCGGTCTCATTTATTGTGCTCGTGGTCGTGGCGCGGGAGGCGCGAATCCGGCGCAGTGTATTAGGACTCGTGCCCTCGGAGGCCCGAGTCTGCTGTAATTCACGAAGCGTCGCGGCCTCTGGAATGCGAATCTGACGTAGGGCTTGGGCGGCTCGAGTCTAAGGCACTGCACTCGGGATCGGGCCTTCTGGGGCTCGAATCTCACGTATTTCGGCGCCCCCCAGGGCCCCCACTGGAATTCTGAGGACGTGATTCCGGGACGGTGAAGGAGTGGTCTTCGGGGGGGGGCCGCGCGGACAGGCGCAACTGACAGCATGAACAACTGCTGGAACTTATAATGAGAACGCTGGAGATTGGAAACTGGTATTGCAGGGCACAGGAAAACCTCATCCCCGCAGCCTTGTAGCTCCCAAGGGGGCCGGTGGAAAGTCAAAAGACCCGCCAAACTGTGACCGAGCCATTGCGGTTGCAAATGCAACCAGGAACGCTCGTGCGGGTGGGAATCGGGTCGCTTGGGTGGCATGGGCGCAGTTCCGAGGACTGACGTATTGTCAGACCCCAGGCGTGTCATCATGATATCCTCAAGTTCCTTCTCCTCCTCCTCCTCCTCCTCCTCCTCCTCCTCCTCCTCCTCCTCCTCTTCCTCCTCCTCCTGCTTTTCCTCCTCCTCCTCCTCCTGCTCCTCCTCGTCCTTGTCCTCCTCCTCCTCCTCCTTCTCGTCCTCCTCCTCCTCCTCCACCTCATCCTCTTCGCCGTGGAGGGTGAGCGGGGGCACACCGACTGATAGAGATCTTCTGCGGCCCGGCCTGGCCCTCCTCTCGCTAACGTCGAGCCCTGGGCTGGCCAGCAGCTCCGTGGCAGGCGGGCGACAGTAGGAACGATTGCGCTCCCAGTACAAATGACAAAAAGGTAAGAAAGAAGAAGAAGAAGAAGAAGAAGGCTTCTTCTTCTCCTTCTAAGAGGCAGCCGCCTTCTAAGAAGCCTTCCCTCTCTCCCTACCCCCGTGTGCTCGCCGACAAGAAGCAGAGGGAGGTGACGAGTGCGTCCCCAGGTGGCGCGTCCGTAGTCGAAGACGCCTCAGACGAGTCACCGCCCCGTGCCCCTGTGGAAACGCACGGCACTTGTGGCAGGTAGTCGATTGTGAAACCAGCTCGGCTGCGCTTGAGAATATTGTTTTCCCCAAGCCACTTGGGGAGAACACGAGACGTGCGAGAGAGCACACGGGGTCCTGAGCGAAGGGTTGCCTTGGAGCCGTCTGGGCGCCATACAGGCCTCGGAATTAGCGAGCACTCGTGCCACATTCGTCTGTCAACGCCTCCCCCTCCCCCCAGTGTTCAAAGTTGGCGGTGGGTCTGATGAGATGCACTTCTACCGCAGTCTCCCCCGCGCGTGCCAACGTTGAGTTTGGGGGGGAGGGGGAGTGTTCAGTAATTGTTTCCCTCTACCGTACGGGAGCCCTCTTTGGCGTTGTTGAGGGCCTCTTGGGTCGTCGTGGGGAGCTCTTGGGCCGCTAGGGGCCCCCTCGACGCGCCCTCTTAGGATGTCGCTGGGCCTTCCTATGGCCGTCTTGAGGCCCTCTCGGAGCAATCTTGGGCCGTCCTGGGGCGATCTTGTCTTGGGAGTCTCTTTGGACCTTCTTGGGACCATCTTGGGCTGTCTCGCTGGACATGTTGGGCCACCTTCGCGGTTTGTGGAGCCCATCTGGCGCAGTCTTGGAGCCATCTTAAACCATCCTGGACACCATCTTAGCTGTGTTGGAGGCCATCTGGAGCGATTTGTGCTGTTTGCCAAGCCAAGTTCAGGCGCCATGCACCCACATGGGGAGTTGTTGGAAAGGTCCAGAAGTTTCAGAACCCCTGGCACGCCAAGCACCCTTGCAATGAACGGCGGATTAGCCAGCTCGGCCCAACCCGCTGCGACGCCGAGGCCAAGGCCATGTCCCCCTTGCCCCCGTAGCCTGCGAGGGGGCAAATGCCACCAGCCGGTTCGCGCATCGACCTGTCGGTGCAGAGAGAGGTCCTGCGCTCGCTCGACACCGTGCTGCTGGCCGTGGAGGAGGCGCTCGACAGGCGGCGGCATTCGCTGGCCGAGATTGACAGGCAACTGCGCGAGCTGGACCCCCCTGCTCAGCAGCGCCTCCGCGACCGCCTGCGGGGATATGCCCCGCCTCCGCCTCCACTGTTCACGTGCAGCGGCGGAGGGCTTTCCCTGCCGCGACCCAGCAGCGGTCGCGCGCCGCTCGAGCCCCCCGCCGAGTCCACGCGCACCCGGCCTCTGGGCCGCCGCGGCCGCGCCGAGGGAACGCGCGCAGAGGGTGCTGCGCACCCACTGCTGGCGCACAGCGGCGGCTCCGCCTCGAGCACCATGACGCCCGCCAGCGCAGGCGCCCCCGACCTCACCACCAGTGCCTCTGGCAGGTCCTTGGGCGTCTCGCTGGCCGACAAAGGACCTTGGGAGTTGCCGCAGGGCCCTGGGGCTGGCGAGGGCGCGGGCGTCTCGGGCCTGCTGGGCCTCGCCGCAGAAGCCGCCGGCTGGGGAGTCGCTGAGGAGCCTGCCGAGGTCTTCGGTGCGCACGAGGTCCACGAGGTGGACGCGGCCCATGCGGAAGAGGCTCATGGCGGCCCCGACACACGGAGTGCAGGCCGGTCGCCTGCAGTGTCGGGCGGGACCCCTCCAGGCAAGGCGACCGCGGCCCGTGCAGCGAGCGCATCCCTCGCCGAGGACGCAGCGGCGGCGGGGGCGCAGGACGCTCCCAGGAGCGCAGAGCGCCTTCAGGCCGCGGCAGCGCAGGCCGGGCAGGAGCCGCCAGACGGCGCCGCCGCCATCCGGCCGCCTGGCGCCTATGGGGGCTCGCAGGCTGCCGAGAGCATGGCGGGCAGCGGCAGGCTGCCGGAGCGCCAGACGCCCTCAGCTTTTCGAGCTGTCAGCGCCGCGAGCGGGCCCCAATGGGCAGAGGCCGCGCGGGGGAGGCGCCAGGACCCCACGGCTGGGACGCCTGCTGGCGCGGGTCACACGCCGGCCGTCACGCCGCAGGCAGCTGGTCCCATGGCACCACTCGTCGATCGGCCGGCAGCGATGGCATGCTCTCTGGAGCCAAGCGCGACGGGCGACGTGGCGAAGGTGCTGTTGGAGCCGCAGCCGACCCCAGCGGGGCCAACCACGAATGCGCCTGTGGTGCGCTTGCGGGCGCTGACCCCCCCCCGATGCAGAACCGCGGTGACTCGGCTGCCGCAGCGCGCGCGCTCGGCGTCGCCCCTGGCGCCGACACTGGGGCGTGAGCTCGCTGGCGCTACGGCCTGCCCGCTGTGCGGCGCAGCCAGGCTGCTCCACCGCCAGTCGCCGCCGGCGCTCTGGGTCACGCCGGTGCCGCCGCTCGCTGGGCCGGGCGCCCGCGGCGGCTGCGGCGCCTGCTCCGCTGGCTTGCCCTCCCGCCACGCGGCGCCCACGCACGCCATGGTGCCGGCCCGACGAGCCGCAGTCTCGACGGCGACTCGAATGAGCGTCTCGCCTCGGGGGGGGCCGGCAGCGAACACCGTGTCGGCGCGCGGGGCGCCCGTGGCGGCCGCCCGAGTCGGGAAAGCGGCGTCGCCGGGCGCCGTGGCACCGGGGTCGGCGGCACGGTCGCCTGCGAAGCCCTGGACAAAGGCTTCGTTGTAGCCGTGCTCCTGCGCCTGGAGGTCCTGGCAAGAGTTCTGAGCACCACCGGCGCGGCCGCTCCCGGCCGCTCCCAGACAACGTCGGCCGGCACGCCAGCGCCAGCCCCAAGGGCTCTGCGACATGACCAGTGCGGCTCGGGGAACAGAAGAAGGGTGGGGAGGGGGAAGCGGGTGAGGGGACTGCATCGTTCTCCCCCCCCGAGTGCGAGGAAGAGGAGGCAGAGGAGAAAGAGGAAGAGGAACAGGTCGTCGAGCATGGTGACAAGAGAGGGGGCATGTGCGAAGGATGACGAGCGGAGCTAGGCCGTCCGATTTAGCTAAAGGCACGGTGGACGAATGCTTGAGACTGTAAGCGGGGTCCCTCCGGTGAGGAGGGGTCAGGAGAAGGAAGGGGAGAGGAGGGGGAGAAGCAATAGGAAATGGGAAGGAGGGCGAAGCAATGGGAGATGGGGATGAGAGACGATCGCGGCGAGTGTGGCAAGGTAAGCTGGGGGAACATCCCTATGCATTGTTGGGTGTGGCCGCAAACCTTAGGTACGCCATGGTGCGAGCCTTATGGGACAAAGAGAAGAACAGCAATAGAAGAAGTATTCTTCTACGAATGATACCCACAGCACTAATAATATGTTAGCCAGCGTGGACCCCAAACAATAGGTTCCTGCAGTCTATGCGCAGCTATATTCGTGGTGCAATGTGTGCGATGCAATATATGCGGTGCAATATATGTGGTGCAATCTACGCGGTGCAACCTACGTAATGCAGTCTTTGATTTGCAATCAATGTGGTGCAATCTACGCGGTGCAACTAATTTGCTGAACTTGAAGTTGTTTTCTCCATTGCTCGAGCAAACATCCCACCCTCCCACCCGCAACTTGGTCAGCAAAACTCACCAGACCGTGGCTGCAAGTACCCAGCGAAGCTTCCTAGCGAGTACCTGACGCCGACGTCGTCGTCGTCGTCGTCGTCGACGCCGTCGCCGAAGCCGTCGTCGTCGTCTTCGTCGTCGTCGTCGTCGTCGTCGTCGTCGTCGTCTTCCCCGCCGTCGTCGTCGTCGTCGTCGTCGTCGTCGTCGTCGTCGTCGTCGTCGTCGTCGTCGTCGTCGTCTGTCGTGGTCGTCGTCGTCTTGCGCACATCGCTCGGTATCGGTCCGGGGGGGGGAGGGGTAGAATCTATTACCCTTTTAGAAAGGAGAACGACGACGACGACGACGACGGACGACGACGACGACGACGACGGACGACGACGACGACGACGACGACGACGACGACGACGACGACGACAACGACGACGACGACGACGACGACGACGACAACGACGACGACGACGACAACGACGACGACGACGACGACGACGACGACGACGACGACGACGACGACGACGGCGCGCGCGCATGTGTCCCGCATGGTATTATTTGACACGGACAGTGGCCCTGGCAGGCGCGCGAACGTCGTTGAAGGAGCGCGCGAAAGTAGCTCGCACGAGCTCGTGCGACCGAAATGTTGAAAAAAAACATTGGTTTTTTAAGGTTCGGACAGCGCGAGCGGGCAAAATTTTGAAAATCCGTGCAGGTTTTTTTCGTGGACCTACGGTGCGATTCGTGTGTTTTTATGATACGCAGTGCTGAAATGCTCAAGAAACCCAATGGTGTTTGAAGATTTCGGCGCGCGCGCGAAGAAAAAACGAATGTGTCCCGCATGGCATTATTTGACAAAGGATTATGCCCCTGGCAGGCGCGCAGCCGTTGTTGAAGAAGTTCGAAGCGCAGGAAAAAGTTGCTCGCAAGAGCCCTTTTGACAGAAATGTTGAAAAAGTAGTGGGTTGCCTAGGGATCCGCAAGAGCGCGCGGGGTGAATGTTTGAAACTTTGTTTTGAAAAACCATTGGGTGTTTGATGTTTTTATGTTAAAATCGCTACGAACACTAAGGTTTTGGAAGGATTTCGTCTTGCGCGCGCGAATATGTCCCGCATGGTATTATTTGACAGGGATTCGCGAAAAAGTGTTATGTTAGAAAGAAAAATGTCCCCGCATAGTGTTATTTGACAGGGAACCGCAAGGGGGGGGATACCGGCTTGGCTGGGATGGTATGAATTCATATTTAGGATGGACATGTGGTCAGAATCATATGTGATTTACAGCACGCGCGGGGGAAGCGATAAGTCCGGGGGGGGGGTAGAATCTATTATTCTTTTAGAAAGGAGAATCTAGGCAATCCAATCTATGCGGTGCAATCTACGTGGTGGAGTCTACGCGATGCAGCCTGTGTAATGCACTCTGCAACCTATGCGGTGCAATCTACGCGGTGCAATCTTTGCAATGCAACCGATGCGGTACAATCTGTGTGGCGCAACCTATGTGGTGCAATGAATCACTTGCTCAACTTGAAGCTGTCCTCTCCACTGCTCGTGCAAACATCTCACCCTCCCACCCGCAACTTGGTCGCAAGACCTCTTAAGATCGTGCCGGTAGGTACCAAACGGCATTTGGCAACGACACCAACGCCGACGACGACAGCGATAACGACGACGACGACGACGCCGACGACGACGACTACGACGACACCGAAGACGTCTCCAAGGACTTCGACGACGCCGACGAGGACGGCGACGACGACGACACCGACGACGACGACGCCGACGACGCCGAAGCCGAAGCCGACGAGGACGACGACGACGCCGACGACGACGACGACGACGACGACGGTGACGATGACGGCGACGAAAACGACGACGACGACGACGACGAAGACGACGACGACGAAGACGACGGCGACGACGTCGCCAACGAAGACGACGACAAGGGAGGAGGGAGGACGACGACGGCGACAACGACGACAACGACGAGGGAGGAGGGAGGACGGCGACGACGCGAACGACGAAGAAGGAGGGAGGACGGCGACGCCGAAGACGACAACGACGAGGGAGGAGGGAAGACGACGACGACGACGGCGACGAAATAGGAGGGACGACGACGAGACGCCGACGACGGACGACGACGACGAGGACGAGGGAGGAAGAAGGACGACCACGGCGACAACGACGACGGAAACGCCGACGACGCCAAAGAGGACGACGACGACGACGAGGAAAGACAAAGGACGACGACGGCGAAGACGACGACGACGACGACGAGGGAGGAGGGAGGACGGCGACGACGACGACGACGACGCAAGAGCGCGAGCGCACACTTTTGTTGAAAATCCGTGTTGCGAAACCATGTGCTTTTGTATGTTTTTTGGACACTCGATTCTGAAATCCTTTCGAAACCGCAGGTTTTTGAAGGATTTCGGGCATGCGCACTTCGTCTCATCTTTTACAAAGGATTCTCGCGACGGCACGCGCGCAGGGGCGTTCGAACGATTTCGACATGCGCGCGCGAAGCCCGTCTGGCAGCATGTTCTGGGAATCTTTTTTTCTTTTTTTTGTTTTTTTTTTTTTTTTTTTTAAAAAAAAAAAAAAAAAAAAAAAAAAAAAAAAAAAAAAAAAAAAAAAAAAAAAAAAAAAAAAAAAAAAAAAAAAAAAAAAAAAAAAAAAAAAACGTATGGTTTTCTTGAGATTTCGCCAGAGCGTGCGCGGAAGTTTTCTTACAAAAGCCGTGTTGCAAAACTTGTTTTTGAATGTTTTTTGAAACTCGATTTTGAAACCCTTCCGAAACCGAAGGGTTTGTTTTAAGGATTCCGGCATGCGCGCGCGACGACGCGCGCGTGTGCACTTCTTATTTTTGGCATGGGATTCTTGGAAACTTATGATCTTTGATCAATGAGTGCGCGCGCATAGAGTTTTGTTGCTGAGGATGGCGGGGGGGGGCGATACCGGCTCCCTTGGAATAGTGCAAGTTCATATTTGACGATGGGGCAGAATCATTTGCAAATTGCAGCACGAAAAGATTGATCGTTAAGTCCGGGGGGGGAGGGTGGTATAACCTATTTGCTAAAAGAGAATCTTCGCGGTGCAACCTATGCAATGCAATGCAGACTACGTGGTGCAATCCACTCTGGTGAACTTGAAGTCGTCATCTCCATTGCTCGCACAAACATCCCGCCCTCCCACCCGCAACCTGTTTGGCCAAACTCATGATGCGGGGGACGGCGGCGCCACCGATGACGGCATCGATGATAACATCCTCACTGCCGATGCTCGTCACCGTGAGTCGATGGTGAAAGTGATCATATCGACGATATCCGGACGTTCGCGATGACAAGATGACGTCGGCAACGTCTGCGACAATTACGAAGATGGCACCAGCTATGAAGATGTTCAAGAGGGCAAAGGCACGAACGAGAACGGCGCCAATGATGGCAAACACGTTGACGATGTTGATGTCCATCTGTCGCTGACGCAGGTGATCGCGGTGATACTGACAAGGTTGAAAAAGGAAATCCGCGCGAGCGGAAGTTCAACAAATCCGTCAGACTGATCATGCGCGCGCGGCGGTGCGCGCGCGGCCCGCGTGGTGTTTTTCGCAAGGGATTCGCCCCCTCGGCGCATGACAGGAATATCGCGGGTGCACCGCGCGGTGACATGAAATCGCTGGATTTGGCAGAATTCATAAGCATCGCTTGTTTGTCGTAAAATTTTAGCACGAGCGCACGGACAGGAAATTTGGCAGAAAAACATGCGGTGCAAAACCCATTGATTTTTTAGCTTGTATGCTGGAATGCTTGCAAGCACATTGTGCTCGGTACGAGTTTGACATGGACGCGCGCGCGATGACTTCGGTTCTTTCGCAAGGGACTATTGCAAATTGCTTTTTTGAGATGAAGAAGTGCGCGCGCATAAATGATTTGACAGGGATGGCGGTGGGGGGGCGATACCGGCCTGGCTGGGACAGTACGAACTCAGATTCAGGATGGACGAGTGCGCAGAAAAAACATGAAACTACAATACCCCAGGGGCGACCGTTCGCTCCGGGGGGGGGGGTCTATTTATTTATTTTTTGAAAGGAGAATCTATGCGACGGCGACGGCAGCGACGGGCGGCGGCGCCGCCCGCAAAAGCCGCCACTCGCCCCGAGCGGCGGCGACGGCGACGGCGGCGACGGGCGGTACCGCCCGCAGAAGCCGCCACTCGCATCGAGCGGCGGCGACGGCGGCGGCGACGGGCGGCACGGCGACAAGAAGCCGGCACTGGTTCCGAGATGGTTGAGACAAGTAAGAACCCGTCAGTGCAAACAGTGCCTGGGGAAGTCGTAATAATAACTCTATGCGGTATTGTTACCAGGGT